AAAAAAAAGTCTATTAGCACACAGTCTGGCAAATCAGAATGACACGCAATGTCCAGATACTCTTGAATATAGCCTTCAAGCGGGCGTGTACCCTGCTTTAAGGATAATAATAGTTTGGCAGTGTCCATACCTGGCCAATGTCCACGGGAAAAGCTGCTGGATCCTTGTGTGGCCGAGTATTCTGTTACGGGACGAACGAGACATGAGACTTGCGGATCCATTGGCAAAGCTTTAATAGGAGAGAGAGACGTGGTCATAAAACAGGCATGGGTCAGACAATGGCAAACAGGTATATTGAGGGCAAGACAGAAGCGTAATCCAAAACGGGCGTGGTCGATAAGCGGCTAACAATATCCAGAGAGCTTGACATGAGGGGTTATCCAATAACACAAGCTAGAGTCCAGGCGAGGTGCAAACACAGTCCGAAACAGCAGGTAAAGGGTTAACTCAAGATAAACAGGCAAAAATCAGGTACCAGGAAATCAGAAAACACGGCGAGACTAGAACTAGGAACTAGAAACTAATACAGGGAAAAGGCCCCGTAAAGTAGCTATGACACGATAAGCGCTAAACAATACTCGGCAGTTTGAAAGGGATCTGAGTGAGTGTTATATAGTGAATGTGTGATTGGTTACAGCTGTGTGCAATCAGTGCTGTGTGCAATCAGTGCAATGGATGATGGGATATGTAGTCCGGGATGACATGCAACAGTTTGTGTAGTGCGAGAGTCAATGTAATGGAAGGGTGACCTCTGGTGGTGAGGGAATTGAAGTTCATGGACCGTATTCGTGACAAAAATACAGTCAGTTCAAAATATCATATTGTTTTATTGTCCTTAGTTCATGATGTCTAATTTTCACAACCCATTGTTTTTTTTGTTTTTTTGAAGGTTTTTTTTTTTTGAAAGACTTACACTATACCATTCAAAGAAATAATAATATTTTTTTTATTAATTATTTTATTCAACAAGGATGCATTAAATTAATCAAAAGTGACAGTAAAGACTTACATAACATAAATGCAATAAATGCAGTTTTTTGTACTTTCTATTGATCAAAGAAAAAAAGATCAAAGATCCTGAAAAAGTTGTATCACAGTTTTAACAAAAATTTGTTTTTAACAAAAAAACTGTTTTTAACATTGATAATAATAAGAAACGTTTCTTGAGCATCAAATCAGCATATTAGAATGATTTTTTTGAAGAATCATATGGCATTGAAGACTGAAGTAATGGCTGCTGATCATTCAGATTTGTCATCACAGGAATAAATTACACATAAAAAATATATCAAAATAGATGTTATTTTAAATTGTAATATTTTTTTTACAATATTACTGTACTTTTGATGTTTAAAAATGCAGCATTAGTAAGCATAAGAGACTTCTTTCAAAAACATAAAAAAATCTTACCAACCCCAAACTTTTGAATGGTAGTGTATTTTCAATCTTTCATTTGCTGAAAGTTAAACTACATGGATGAATGCTATACTAAAAAGACTGCACTTCCATCCTTTCCATCCTAGGTGTTTTTGAAAATCTCTAACTTTATGTTTTAAATTTAACTAAAAATCACTGAGACCACCTTGCACAGCATTTTCACACAACTCACTTTTTCATCAGAAAAATCTAGTTAGGATTGTTAGTTTGGCCATCCATCAGTTTGATGTTGTTGTTTTTTTCAGTCATATGTATTCCATTCTGGTTTTCCATACTAGTTTGAGGCCTGCTTCTCAGAGTTTTAGAGCCCATCTCAGGGTTGTGATGCTTGACTTTAACTTAATTTTTCATCTCCATTTGAACAAATAAGAGCCGTACTCACTGTCCAGCACAATTACACTCACTGACCCATTTCCCAATAGTGCCATACACACATTAATCTGTCTGGATGCCCCTTATCTCTGTGCCTGAGTGGATCTAACAAAGCCCACTGAACTAATGCCCCTCTAGGCTGAGACTGTCTTCAATGGCAGGCAAATTTAGGACAGCGTTTGTCACAGCCAGTTGTCTTCTGTGTTAGGCTCACTGATTTGAGTATGGTTTACC